CTGCAGTTACCATGTTTGTCACTAGATGGCAGACAGACCCTAGTAAGGCAAAGTGCTGGGTAAATTTAAATTCATAAGGGGGGGGGGGCAAGGGATTTAGACCGAGGAATGGGGAAATATCATTTTTTAAACTTCATAAATTTAAGATGCCCGTCATATAGGCAGTTTCTGAAAGCAGGTACTCTCTGCGACTGTCCCCATTTTTGAGCTGGAGTAACTGAGGCCCAGCGCTCTTGCCTGGCTTACCCGAAGCCTGCGGCCTACCTCCGGGCGTACGCGTTTTGCAGGCTAGGGCCAGCAGCAGGGTGCTCGCACGAAATAACGTGAGAATAAATGTTAAAAGCCTACGATACAGCCCAGCCGGGCGTGGCTCAGCGGTTGAGCGTCAACCTAGGATCCAGGCAATCGGGGTTCGATTCCCAGTCAGGGCACATGCCCGGTTGCGGGCTCGATCAATGACTCTCTCATCATTGATGTTTCTATCTCTCTCTCTCCCCCTCTCCTTTCCTCTCTCTGAAATCAATAAAGATATATTTAAAAAAAAAAAAAAGTCTACGATACAGAATTACAACGGCGATGCTTCAAAACGCCCGCAGCTCACAACAGGAGAAGAGCTGGGACAGCAAGCGTGTCGTCATGTTTGCGGGTGGGGGCCACGGCGTGTGTTCGGAGTATAGTTAGATCCTGTTACACTCGGAGGGGCTGTGTCTCCCGACGCCCCCGGCCACGTCCCTCTCCTGAGGGCCCCCAGGCGGCCACAGCGGCGACCACTGCGGAGAGAAGACTGGCTTCTCCTTCCGTCAACACTAACACTGCTCTCTAGCCAACTTCAGAGCAGCTCCATACACAAAACCTGACGGGAAAAGCTTCGTTTCTGTATCCTGAGATGCCCGGGAGAAAACAAGAAGTTGTCTCTAAAAACTGGGTACTTTTGGAAGAGACGCCTGTTTTTAATTTCACCCAAAGCCCCTAAGATAATTAAAGAGGTAACGGGGGAAAGTCTCCCAAGGTTAAACGGGACGGAACACGGCGAGGGAAAACCCTGGTGACATGGGCGCTGATGTAAAGTCTAGAAGGGCGATATCCATTATATTTACCAAATGGAAAAACTGAAACACCTTTGTTTTTGTTGCAAGACTTTGTAATAAATGGCATGGCCGTTCGTGGCAATAAATTTGAAGAGTAAAATTATAACATTAAAAGGGCACATTTCAACCTAAAAATATCCCATTTTATATACAGAACATGTCCACATAAGGGGGACTACCTTCCATGACGTCTTTTTAACATACTGGATGGCATTCAGCTGCGCTCAACGTTGTAAAATCTGAGTCCCAGCCGGTCACCGAAAAGAGTTGGTTCTGACTCTTTCTTTGAAAGAATAACGTTCGCAGACAATTTTGTGACAATGCAAATGCCTCAACGTGTGCTCTATTGTTTCTAAAAACGGCTGCTCCGAAGGGTAAATTTTATCATTACGATTTTTGTCTTCTTTCAAGGAAAGAAAGTATTATAGAATGCCACCAGGGGGCAGCCTTGTAATCCACAACCGAATTCAGGGGGAGGGGGGAGGAGGGGCACAAATTGAACTATAATCGTATTTGACATGGTGGAAATTAATAGTATTTTAACAACAACAAAAAAAAAGGGGGGGGGAATAACCTCTTTTAAAATTAACAATATGGTACCTATACTTTTCAAACTGGGCTTAAGCGATGAATTTTAAAAATCAGTGACATTCGTATAAATTAGACAAAATATATGTTATGGGAAAGAGCGATGCTAAAATGGGTTTTCACTTAGACAATATTTTTCATGGGCTTTTAAAAGTGGGAACATACTCCCTTAAAACATTTTTTAAAAATTTTTATCATTTAAAACTTTCTGATAGATTTCCCTATCACTTTAATTCAACATTTCAGCTTGATCGTAACAATAGTACTCTCAGTACTGAGCCCAAATGAAACAAAGCGCTAAACACTCGAAGGAATGGGTTTTATTGCTTCTCGTGATTTAAACTTATTTTTACTATTTTGCAAAAATGCATGTTAAGTACTCTTTCCAATTATCTGGGGCGCCTCCTTCACACACACACCACCCCTCCCCTCGGGTCACGATGCTCTTTCTCAAGGTCACTGACGGTCCCTTTCCCTGGGTCAGAAGAGCGACTGGCTGGGTCCTCTGCAAACCGATGACCAAGCCATTTCTTTCCTGGCCTGTAAAGCAAAGCTCTTCAGTGGACCGTGGGCCATTTTCTGAAACCCATCCCGTCGCCTGAGCAGGAAACGCTCTCTAACCGCATTCGCTTTACTCCCAGCGTCCGCGGGATTGCGAGGAAGCCACGTGTGCGACACTGTAACCCACAGCCCCGCGGGGTTTATAAACAGGCCGCCTTTTGCGGCGCTTGGGAGCCAGGTAACTCAGACAATGCAAGTGCTTGTCTTTTCTTAGACATTTCACAGAAAGTTGATTTCATCTGTAGCATTTTCAAATACGAGATTCACTATCTGTAAAATAGAAGCCAGCTGATTGCTTCTATTATTAAAAACGCGCTGAGATCCTGGGCTTTCTTCCAGGTCCCCATTCGACCAAGAGGTGGCTTTGAAATGCCTGGCTTGCCACTGTTTACATGCCCAAAAGGCACATACGACGTCTAAGTACGTTCCTTAAAGATGAGATGATCAAATGAGCTTGTTGTGCTACGTTCCACCCATTAGGATGGTTGATAAACCAACAAATACGTAAGGACTCAAAACGGTGGCCAAGTCTCCTTTGAGGTGAGCGCCACGCAGGTGATATTTTATAGGGACACATTGTCCTTCGTCACATCTCAGTCCACACGTCTCTACACAAACACACTTAAAAAATGGAATAAATGGCCACGTGTGTAATAGCATTTGGTGCTATTAGCAGAAAATACGACTATTAAACACACTTCTATTTGTAAACACTGTGTCTGGGTGAAAGTCCTGACTGCATTCCAAGTGTGAGTAAAATTTCCCAACAGGGACACGCCGCTTTCTGTCACATTACAAATGGAAAAATAAGCTTTTCATTCATATTTTCTGCGCGGCGCTGACATAATTAACCGGGTAGGTTGAAAGGGAATCCGAGCGGATTGCTTTTGGCCCAGGCGTGAAATAGTTAAGGGCGAAGCCTGCCAGGGTTTGGCTCCGGCTTAACAACAAAGAGCGGATCCCCTCACTCGCTCGCACCAGATCGGGATGCGTGTTTTGCTTGCTTAGGGCCATCCATCTGTTAATGTTGACGTGGAAACAGCTAAGCTCCTGCCTACGGCTCACCCGTCCTCCGGCTGATGTGAGCGAGAGCGATGCAGACACACAGACACACACTATTATCAGACTAAGAATGGCTGATGTGATTAAAAATGGGGCGGCCTCTCGGGTTCGTATCGATTCAACGCATTATTTAAAGGAATTTCTCATCCTTAGGAAAGGCCGCTCAGCCTCTCCAGGTAAATATTTTAAGGCGTCACCGCAGACGGGAGACTCAGTCTACGCATCGCTCGCTGGGTCTATGCATCTTGTTCTGAAATAAAAATCGATGAGGGGAGGTGTGTGTGTCGTCGGGATGAAAACTGCTCTGCGGCAGGATCCTCGCTGGACCCAACTGGCCGTGTTTTCAGGAGAAACCGGAGGCCCCGCTCCCCAGAGCCCCGTTAGGCTGGGGCTGCTCTCATCTCCGCCCCAGAGGGACAAGGGCCGGGCCTTACGAACGGGAGGCCTAATTGGGGGTTCTTCTCGGCTGTCCCCTCGACATTCATTTAAGCTCATCAACGAAACGGGGAGTAACCATCCTAATTAGCAGCCCCCCGCAGAGTCCTGTTTGCTGGCCAGCGGCAGGACACGCACAGGGGAGCCCCACGCTGTCGGGGGACACGGGCCGCGAGCCACCCACAACCCAGGCGTCCGCTCTCGTGCACAGTCCTCAGGCGGCCACACTTGGCTTTTTTCACTTTCAAATGCATCCTGGGACTGTCCACGGCCATCCTCTCGTTTATTATCTCTTTTGGAAAACGTATGAAAATAAAGCGTTTCCTTTGCCCCAGTCTAGCCGGAGGCCGAACACGAAAAGCTCTCTGCGGAGCGGAGATTGCGTTCTCACCAGGACAGGCGAACGGGCGAGCCCGGGTTCTTTACGTGGGTCATTTCATCGGCCATAAAACGACATGCTCGAGGCCTTACACGCCCAGACCTTTCTTGGTACGAGAGCTGTGTGTTTCTTTTCAAATCATAAACTGGGGTCTTGAAGTCATTCCGACTTAAACGGAAACAGGCAATTTTAGGGTCCGTGTGACTGTAACGACTGGGAAGCGATACCAGAGAGAGGCCATGGGGGAGGGGGGGCATCCGTGTAAGGCCGGAAGCTAGACACGCATGTCTGTGTGCCAAGAGGCAGCCGCCGATCACGCGTGCCTACTGTGTGGCCGCCCCCTCCCATGTGTCGCCTCTGACGCCTGCAGCGGTCTAGGAGCCGACGGGAGCCGTCGTCACGTCCCACAGACGCGGGACGCAAGGCCCAGGGATGTCGGGTTTCACTCGGCGCCGACGGCTGGGACCTTCTCAAAGCCCAGTGCGCCTGGCTCCGAGCCCCACACCCTGGTCTCCAGCTGCCCCTCCTGACTCCGCCCAGCGGCCTGGGCACCTGGTTCCAGAGTCAGTCTGTCCTGTGTCCCCTCCCTGCTGCTCTGTTTGTCACCTGCAGAAACGTGGGCCCATTTCAGACTCCCTCTGCTCCCCTGCGTAAACAGACCTACTTACTGATATCCAGATTCGGCCTTTAGAGGTCTAATCCTCCTGGAAATACACGTTTCATTGGAAACCTCAATGTGCTCAGACCCTGGTATCATTACGGGTAAGAGAGCAGTTTCTTCGCCTAAAAATCTCTGCCCCACGGTAACTGTAACCTGAACGCTCCCCCCGTTAGGGCAGCAAACCTTCTGCAAAAGCTTTTAAGGCGTTAAAGCTTGAGACGGGTAGGAACTGAACATGCTGGTGATGGAAGAAGCACTGAGAGCTCAGAGCCATCGGGAGCTGGCAAGTGGACAGACGTTTTCCAGTCAACAGTCGTCGTCGGCAGGGGCCGTGCAGGAGGCAGCCGGGCGGCGTTTCTCTCTCTCCCTCCCTCTCTTTAAAAATCAATAAAAACGTATTTGACAAACAAAGAAACAAACACGAACGGGACCGAAATTGCTCCTGGAGGACTGGGATTGGATGAATTTGGAGACGGGGGGTGGGCAGCCTTACCCGGGTGAGCTTGCGCTTCTCCAGGCTTCCTCCCTGGTGGTTGTGCAGCGTGTAAACCGGGGCGTATTGCACAAAACCCGAGCAGGTCCCACAGTCTTCCTCGTTTTCCTGCCCGTGAGGAGACAGACGCACAGGGAATTATCTCAAAATGCTCCTTTGGTTACTCAAGTTCTTCGGTTAACCAGCAGAGTGTCTGATACAGACGTAAATAATAAAATAACGCTTCAGCTGTAAGCGTAAAGAACCTATTTGGAAAAACCGGTTTCCCAGCATTTTTCTGTATTAGGAATTAATGACTTCCGAAATAACCTCTATTTCGAATAATTTGAATAAAATGTACAGGAAGCTCATTCGCCCCCCATCCTACAATGAAAGTTTCTAGTACTTTTCCTCCAAAGGTAAAATTTCAAAACGTGACGACCGATAAAATCTGCCCCGAGATGTAACATGTGACCAAATCAAACACGCGCCCACACGCCTACGCACGCGGCGTTCACAGACCCCAACACACACCCTCCAACGCAAGCTTTTGTCAACGAAGAACGCGCTTGGTTTAAAGGGGCTGCTGTTGGAAAGGTCCTGTAAAACCAAACGATGGCGTTCGTGGCTTAATTCTGCACCCAAAATCATCTTAAAAAAAATAAAAAATTATCAGAATAATTTTTTATCAGAAAAAATAATTATCAGAAAAAAATAAAAGAATAATTTCAAGGGTGGCATCAAACGATGGACTCTGGAGACGCGGGTCCTGCTGAAACGTCTTTGGAGACCTCGGTAGTTCTGGGGTAAAACGCAAACAGCAGAGAGACTGCTGCGTGGACGCGCAGAGCGTGGCGGGCAGGGGCCAGAGGGCTTGTTAGGAGAAAGACGTCCCCGGGCACAGGGACGTGCCAGCTTCCGAATCGCGTGACCTGCGGGGTGGGGTGCAAGCGCCCGGCTTCGGCAAGAAGCAAGCAGAGTGCGGGGCGGGCGTACCTTGTGTTTCAGTTTGCTCTTCACGTCCTTTATCCCCTGCTTTGCGTGGCTCTTCGCCTGGAAAACGACAGCACAAGGGTCGGGCTCCTGTTACCCTCGAAAAACAGAGACACCGGCCCCGGGCGGCGGGGCTCAGAGCCTCCGCCCACGGGCCGCAGGGTCGAAGGTTCGATTCCCGGTCAAGGGCCTGGGCCTGGGAGGCGACCGTCCATGTGTCTCTCTCACGTCGATGTTTCTCTCTCTCTCCCTCTCTCCCCACCTCCCTCCCTCGAAAAGTCAATGGAAAAAGCATCCTCGGTGCCCGTTAACAGAACTAACAAACGGAAGCGAGCGAGCCCATGCGATCTGGTCGGATGAAAATCGCTGACTCCTCACATTATTTAGCAAAGGAAGGGCCTGGACTATCAACTCTATTTCCAGGGACACCCCACGGCTCCCTGCTCCCCGAGTCGGTCGGTGCGAGCACAGTCTCCGTGGGCGCGTCTCGCACGCCGGCAAGCCTGGGGCCTGTTCTGCCTCCTAAACTAGATCAACGCAAAGTCTTCATGTGAAACTGTGACTAAATGCGGGAGAAAGCGGGCGAGTGGGTCACAGCCCGGGGAGGCCGGGCAAGTGTCTGGATTTCGGGAAACACGGCAATGTCACCAAACGTCATCGAAGCGCTTGGACAGACAGGCGCGGTTTTCATCAGCCTCTGTCCTAAGGGGTTTTTTCAGGCAAAAATTAAACATCAGAAGAAAACTTACAAATTTATACGCAGTCCGCACGGCGGGGCTGGCTTTGGTCATCGCCGAGTTGAACAGGGCGCCCCCTTTCTGCAAAGGAGAAGCAAGGCGCTTATTTCCGACAGTTCCCGGCCAGACTGTCCCGAAAACAAAGCATTACTAACAGTGCAGAAAAAGAGCTTGAGCCCCCAGCGAAGCAAAGACCTGCAGAAATTATTTCACGTGTCGTGTGTTCAAGCTTTTTATACACTACGGCAAGTTCAGACAAAATGTAAACATTCTACTGTTTTTTTATAATACATCATTTCAAAATCACTTCACTTTTACTGGCAACACGACCAGTAATAGGCATATAGTTAAAGCTTCATTAAAAAAAAGAAATGCAGCTGTTTATCAACGGTGTTTAACGTTAGGCAAGAAAATCTCAATCTGTGGACAGAAGTTTTATATTTTAAACACTCATATTAACAAAAGCAGTACCAGAAATGATAAACCTCCCGCAGAATCCTACTATTCCAACGAATTCCTCGTCTGGGGATATAATTCACGGTGACAGTGAAATCTTACTTTTCAAAACAAACCGTTTATCTCCAGATAAAAGCTTTCCATTGAAAATCACATTCATAAGTACCAGCAAATTGCAGGCATAGAACGAAGATTTTTAAAAGCGAGGAAACAGACAAACACTTAAAATACTGCCAGTAAACAGCGTACTTTCACGGGACACAATCCGCAGGCCGAAGGGCGAGGGAAGATATTTTAAAAGGTTGCTGTTACCTTGACCGTATGGACCCACTGCTGATAGGACCTCGGGCTCCCTGCAACACGTAAAAAGGAGATGTCAGGAATAGCTGATGCCATAAAAATAAATCCGTAAACCAAAGTTTATCAAGAGCTAGGATTTCCAGGAATTTACAAGCCAATTTTATTTTTCTGCAACGTTGCAAGAGAAGCAATGGGCTGGGTGTGAGAACCAATGAGTTGCTCGAATTCTTAGGCGCGCGGTAACTGCCGTTTTTAAGCACAGACACTTTCTCTAATATGTTAAAGCTAATATGTTAAAATACTCTCTCGTCTTTCATTTTTAATATTATCATCGGAGGGGAAAACACAACCTCTCTTTGGAAAGCCAAAATTCCCGCGTCTTTTACACGGATTTTTCGGCGTTTTACGTCTCTCTCACCTCTTTTGCCATCTTTTATGCAGTTAGATTCATTTTAAGATAATATTTCGAGTAGGGGGAAGAAAAACTAGAAGGAAATTTAGAAACGCAAAGAACCTTGAGGACGAAAAGGGTTCCCTGTGGCTGTCCGATATCCACATCACTTAACTTGATTTCACTGCAACACAACGGCGGTCACAGTTTGAAAATATCCTCTAGCTGGGGACCCCGATGTGGAAGATGCCACCCGAGGGAAGGTGGAGCCGACACTGCTTCCAGGCCCCTGGGCGTCGTGGTTACTAGAAAAGCTCGGAGGCCGGCAAGTCCAGTTCTCATGAAACCAGTGATCACATATCCGGCTCCAAACCTGAGAAATCAGTCCCTAAGGTGACATCGGAAGCCCACAGCTAACCTGAAGGTCTACAGCAACCGGGTAGATTTCACCTGCCTTCTTTGGTTGTTTAAATGCTTAAAAAAGCAAAGTCCCAATGGCTACGCAGGAAGCATCCAGTACAAAGGATTCCTTTGAGGCTCACAGTTCTCAAGAAAAAAAATTTTTTTTTTAACCTAAATTACATTTTCTGAGTTGTACTTTTCGGTTCTAAAATGGGTAAAATCAGGGCCAGCGTAGTCCAAGGAGACAGAGGCGGCTTTGGAGTGAGTGGACCTGAGCGGTCAGGCTCAGTCTGTCCTTGGGAACCAGGGGCCCTGAGGACAGGTCCTTAACCTGGCGGCCGCTACGTGGTGGTTATCGTCATAAATAACTTGGTGAATGAGAAAACGGGGGTTCTGAGGGTGGGTCCCTTACTGGCCCAAGTTCACAGAGACAAGAAATCTAGGGATTTTAATTATTTTAATTCTTGGCTCGTTGGTCCTTCCACCCTGAAACACGCCCTCCGAAGACTGCGGAACAAAAGATGATGAAATTTGAGTTACTGAGAGAGTCCCTCTGAACCCCTGTGAAGCAATTAGGAGAGAAAACGGGGCTGCTCAGGGGGGACACCTGGGGAAGGAACAGCGGAGGGACAAGCGCTGGTAAGAGCCCGGAGTCCCCGGCCCAGGCAAACGGGGAGCCCCCGAGTAAAGTGCTCACGGTGACAGGGAGACATGTGGTATGTTTTAGGTAGATTCCTATTTTAAAAAAAAAAAAAATGTCCAAAGGATGCTTGTCTCTTTCAAGTGAGTGCTTTTAAGACAGAAGACTCCTGTGTGCACAAAATTTATGAGACAGACGCATTCTTTCGGGGGGAAAAAAACCCCAAATATTTAAAGGCTGTTTTTCTTCTTAAAAATGAATCTGAATGCCAAAAATAAAAATTAAAAAAAAATCCCTGAGGCCTTCTGGGAAAGTAACGGGGCCGCGGTAATAAGACGCATCATCGAGAAAATCCTTCGCCGTCGTTTTTGTTCGTCAAACCCCAGTTTCCTCACACAAAGGACAGAGAGCCCGTCCTCATTCGCGCCAAGGCTTTCCGTCCCTCATGCACCTGTTTAAATCCCAGCGATCAGCAGTCACCGATCCTGAAAAACGTAAACTGGTCTAAATTGTTCCGTGAGGCCAAAAAAGATGACACTAGAACGGATGACCACCTAATATCCCTTCAAATTCCTTTGCTGCCTTAGTTGGTAAAAGAAGAAAAAGAATTAAATAAATACAAGGCTGATCGGATTATATCAGAAAATTAATGAAGGAAGGAGTGACCTTGAGGGAGAGTAGCCGCCACGTCTGTAGAACGTCAATCTGAAAATGTCCCTCCTTTTTAAAGTTTAGGTCACTGGAAGTGAATTTAAGACCCCAGTTTTATTTGAAATGAAAAAATATATATATATGTGTGAAAAAATTTCTTAGCTCCTCAATATCCCCTCCGTTCCCTCCTAGACCGATATTTGTATGGGGCCCGAGATCTACTCCTCCCTCCTGCACTGCCTTTTAGCCCCAGGGACACCCTTCCCTCGGCACATTTCCTGATCAGGTTGAACACTCTACAGAGGTTCTGTAAATGGAATCAGGAGACACATGGAATTCTTAAAATACTTGTATAGGTGTTTTTTAAATTGACTCGAGAGAGAGAGAGAGGAAGGGAGAGGGAGAGAGAGAAACATCGATGATGAGAGGGAAACACCGACCGGGCCCTGCCGGGGATGGAGCCCACGGCCTGGGCATGTGCTCAACCAACTGAGCCACACCGGCCAGGGCAAAACATGGGATTCTCTAACGGGCCCGGCCACAGGGCCTCACAAGGCAGAAAGCAGTTGTGGAAAATCCGCACACACTCACAGGGCTGTTACCCACAGTTAAGGCTTCCCCACGGTCACGGTTATTCTATCACAACCACCCATGTCCCCCACAGACAGAGCCGCGTCCGAACGGCCACTCCAGGACAGAGAAAAGGGACGTCCTTCGACGCTTTCCTGACATTTCCGAGCTATTTTTGCTTAAAGGGACCGAGTTTTTTTCCTTCTGTATTGATGAGTGGTGATTGCTCCTATAAGTGATCTTCCTGAGGGCTTTCTGTGTTAAAATAATAATAATAATAATAAAAATCTTCAACTGACATTCAAGAGCGACGGGAATCCTTTTACCCAGGCAGAGCGGGAAGGCTGGGCGCCGCTCTCGCTGACTGCGTGCCTTCTCGTTAAGAAGCTCCCTTATCCCAGGAACGCAATACATCACGGTTATTAGAGCAGCGCTTTGCAGGGGAGCAGCCGCGCCGGCCCAGGCGCTGGCACCGCCAGCCGGGTGACCTTGAGCGAATGACTGGGACGAGCACCCTGGAAAAAAGTCGGTAATCAAAGTACCTCCCAGGGCGCCGTGGGGATTAAATGAGATAATGTTGGCAGAGCTCTTGTAAGAACTTCTGCGACACATTAATATTCAGGAAGTGGGAACAGTTATCATAACCAAGACTGTAACTACGAGAGCAACGGCAACATTGTAACGGTTTACGCTGTGAAGCACAGTTCAGCATGATGGCAGCGACATCTCCCTTCTGGCCAATGTCATCCAGGTGACAAATGTCAGGAGCCGGCCTCCGGAAACTATTTTTGGAACTGTATCTACACCCTCATTTATAAGCACATCATCAATTTGTATTACATTGTTCATCTTTTTATTTCAAACCCGAATGAATTTTGCTGTATTTTCTTCTAAGGATAATCTATGTATCCGTAAGAAAATTACCTGTAATATAATAATTTAAAACATAACGCCTGACAGCCAGGCATCGTTTCTTAATGTGCGTTCTCGCTGTGTCTGCTGAAATGAGTCCTGGTTGAACTAAGCTTTCCTTTTCCATCAGAATGAGCTTCCCCAAATTAAGGTAAGAATTCAAAACCTTTTTTTTTCATTTTGAGAAGGAACAAAGGGGTTGGCATGAAGTTGTACCGAAAAATGCAGCCCCTGAGTCAGACGCCCACTGGTGACCGGTGTCCGCCCAGCCTTTTGCAGACAATCAGACCTACAGGGTTACCTTCAGGGACTGCCCCTCCCTCCGGAAAAGCCACCACGCCCGGCTCCATCCCAGCGGCGTCCAGGCCCACGCCTGGGACTAGAGTGGAGCCACATGAAAGGGTCCCAGTTCCACCCCATCACTGTCTCCGATGTCACCTTCAATTCCACAGGAGACACCAGCCCCACGGGTCACAAAAGATAATGAGAGCAGTTATGTAAATACCCGATCGATGCCTCGAGCAATTTGTCCAGGAACTGACAATATTTTGCTCGTCTGAGGTGAAAAGTAAAAAAAAAAAAAAGTCTTATTTTAACACAAAAGTTCCATTGAAGCTCAATTTCTTCCCCGTGAGCTGAGGGGAACAGGGAGGTGGGTGACTCCGTGCTCGGCACCTTCGGAGTCAGGTCAACGAAGTTTTTCCCAAAACTAAGTTCTTTCCATGAAATTCTGCGCTTCCATCTGGCTGAGGTCCACCGAGTTCAATTCCCCTGTATGTCTTTTAATAATCAGATGACTGGAACAGTTTTTATATTTTCATGGTGCAACAATAAATCTCGTTTAAGGATAAAATTAAATTTGGGGACCTCCGTAGGTGAGTCCTATTTGTCTTTTCACGTTTTGTTTTGTTTTTTAGATATGTCTTTACTGATTTCAGAGAGAGGAAGGGAGAGGGAGAGAGAGAGAGAAACATCAATGCTGAGTCATGGATCGGCTGCCTCCTGCACGCCCCCTGCTGGGGATCGAGCCCAAAACCCGGGCCCGGGCCCGGGCCCGGAATCGAACCCGTGACCTCCCGGATCCTAGGTCGATGCTCAACCTCTGAACCACGTCGGCCGAGCCTACTAGTTTTTTGATGTTTTATTTCTCAGTTCCAGCAACTGTTTATTCACACACAGACTCGAGCATTTTTTCCCCCCAAACGAAACCTACAGAGGGTGGGAAATGACTCATCACGCCAGGTGGAAGTGAGCACAGCGGGTTCCGCGCCGCGCCTCCTCCACAACCGATAGCCCGCAGGTGCCGCTGAACGAACGGGCCCTTCCAGGGCTCCAGCCACATTTGCTGCCAGCGCCAGGGCCGAGGACTGGGACGGCCCCAGACAAGGCGTCAGGCCGAACGTCCCCGAGCGCCTGCCCGATTATGACGGGGGCTTGGACATTTACATTTCCGACACTGCAACTGTTTAATTACACTGGAGCTGATGACCGTGGGTGAAACCGGGGTTTCACACGCACAGAACAGCATGACTCCTTGCACGGTTTTAGGTGGCCACCAGCGCCACCTGCAGGGACGGAAGACTGAAGGGTCTCCCTGGCGCTGCGGCGGGCGGTCTGCGCAGCGAGGACAGACGGCCACAAACACACCTTCCTAACGGTCCACGAGCCGTGTGGGCCCGAACCTTTCTTTTTGGATATGACAACCGAATGTTTCTATCCCATGCTCTCAGCAGCAGCATCACTGGTGTCCTCTAGCAGAGGCAAGGCCGGAAGAGGCCGACTCCGGCATTTCTGTGACACTCACGCCCAGTCACAGTCAGGGACTGTCCAAACCGCCACCCATTCGCGAGGCCGTCCCCACGAGGCCTCGAGCAACAGAAACAGGCAACGTAAGTGAACCCACAGGCCTTCTAAGACGAAAAGATGTCTCTAAGACATCACGGGTTTAGGAGAAAACGGTGGTTCCTAAAGCGGCTTATCTCAGACGCTGGTGCAAAGGTCACGATCGTTGCTATTTGGAAAACGCACAATCACACGGGACGTGGTCTTTACCTCCAGAAAAGCCACCGGATGTGATCTCCTCTTCGAAGATATCAGAGAAGCCCTTCCCTTCGTTGAGCTTTGCCAGTCGACCGTCGATGAACTGAAATGTAAGAGTCACACAGGGTCATTTTCATGTATTTCATCAGGTTAAATTTTTACTTATATCAAAGACACTGCTAATACCAGACACTCATAGACACAGCCCAAAAGCATACAGCCGGGGCCTGTGTCTGTGTGTCTGTGTGCGAGTTGCTCTCAGGAAAACCAGAACTCTGAGGGCAGAAAGCACAGGCCGCCCGTTTTTCTATCCTTGCTGTGCTTGGCCTTCCAGAAGCTTCCGATGGTACAAACGAGCGTGAACGCGGGAGTCTGGAGTGTGACAGGCCCTTGTCACAACTCTGCACCTTATTAGCTTTATGATCGTGGGCGACCAGCCGTCTCTGCGACTGTTTCCCTTCTGTAAGAATAAGAATAATAAACGCCTCACGGGGTTTGGCGAGAGTCAATTAAATAGCGGGAAGTGTCTCCACTGTGGGCCCAGGACGAACGTTAAACGCCAAAGCCCGCATTCCCCTCGGGCCCGGGCCGAGCCCCGGAGTCCAGAGCACCTGCCGCGCCCGGGAAAACGCCAGGCGAGAAGAAACCGTCACGGAAACGCACGTGCCCTGAGGAGAGGCTAAGGTTTCAGAGCTGAACAGCGCAACGTACAGAATTATTCCTTTCATCCACCCGAGGTCAAAGGCAGTCGCTTCGGATGCTGGCATCCCTGCTGCACAGAATAAATGGTTAACTTGTAAGTAAATCGCTTTAAGGCGCTTGCGAGATCCGACCTGCCCACGTTTTCGACTCGGCCTCATAAATCAAACGAAAGTGATCTAATGTGATGGCCCGAGTATCATTTTGGAAGACATGAGGCGAGGCATGGTGATAAATGCAAAGCACTACATTCCTGACAATGGGAACCAACGAAGACATCCTTTTAAAGGACTTAATTTGCTTTAAAAGATTAAGGCGACGAGGCCTTTTAAAAGGTTTTCGTTTCTGTGTTTACGGGAAATAAGCCATCCATTTTCCTTGGAGGGGAGCAGTTCAAGTCTCCGAAGAGATAAATCCCAAACTATTCACTGATTGTGCGTTTCTGAGGTTGAGCAAGTGCCGCGTGTTACCCAACCCGGGGCGTGAGCCAACGGAAATTAATCACCTGCTTAAACGCCACGTGTTATCACCGACGGTGCAAACAACCCCGCTGGTGACGACCGGCCACTTAGCAACATGCAAAGGGTTGCTCTGAAAACCCAAGATGGATTTGTACGAACGCACACACACATTACATACACACACACGCAGACGCCCGGGGAGACGCCGAGAAGCGGCCTTCACGGGGGGGGAACGCTGAAGGTAACGGTTCTCTCAACTCCCGTTTCTATTTTTGACTCAATAACAGCTCCCCCCCCCCC